ACTGACGGGGGGGGGGTCAGGGATCGGGTAAAAATAAAATTTTAAAATTGAATTTTTTTTAATAAAATTGTTGTCGTTTTCCCCAAAAAACGATGAGAGTTTTGGAAAATGTTTTTCTTAATTTTTGAACAAAAGCCATTTTTCTTAATTTTGAGGAAAATCAGTTGATTTAAAAAATATATTTTCCAAAACTTTTATCCCAACCAAACATGAGAAAATTGGAAAACACTTTCCAGAAAATGTTTTCCTTCATACCAAACACATTCTAAATTTTTATTTTTTTCTTAGTATATAATATCTGATTAAACACATTCAACCTTTAATTAGAGGCGGCTCTATAATTTTGCAAAAAAATAAAAGCAATTGCTTTAGGTTTCAAAATTTGAGGGGCCTTATTTTTTTTTAAAAAAAAATAATAGCTTATAAGTATTTTTTTTTAAAAAAAATAATAGCTTATAAGTATTTCTTTTTTTAAAAAAATATCAAGTATTATTTGTAGAAAATATTTTATAAAGAGTAAAGAAGTAATACAAGTTTGACAAATTATAAATACTATTACTATATCTCAAGAAAGATGAAACAATTGACTATAATTAATTTCATAAAAAATATATATTAAAATTTAAGACCTCCATTCAAATTTAACTTTAGACCACTGATTTTTTAGAGCCGCCTCGCCTTCAATTATTTGAAGGGATATTTGTATCTCTTCATGGATTCACATATTTATCAATCAATCATTTTAGCAACTTTTAAAGAATATAATTAGATATATATGACAAGAGCAAAATCAGAATATTGTAATAATTAACTTTTAAGTTAGAGAGTAGTTAAACCGTTACCTTTGAATAGCAGATTGACTTAAAATTCAAAAAATATTTTTAGAGCAATGATATGATAATGCCACAATTAGTACTAAATATGTATGCGATATTATTTCATAATTCCATTGTTATCAAGTGTTAACACTGTTCTTAATTACTAGGATGAAAATATTTATTAAATTTTTATAATGTATGTCCTTTGTTTTTGTTCTTTAAGTTTTCTTTCTCGTATCTTGCTGAGGGTCTTTTGCAAATCGTCTCTCTATTTCAGAAATATAGAGGTAAGTCTATGTACACAGAATCTTTCCGGTCCAACACTCACTTAAAGAATTCCACTTCTTTCTCCCATTTCACCCCCCTTTTTTCATTTTAGTTCTATTATATATTTTTCTCGATTATTTTTCAGTAATTGCGAATTAAAGTTATTTTAAAAGCAATTTTAACGAATTTGAAGAATTATTTTTTTTTTAATTTTGTAAAAGACTTGGGAAAGCAATTGCTACAAATATTTTGTAGAAAATTCAGATTCTCCACCTAAAACAAGGAATCTAAGATTATTTTTTTAAATTAAATAATAAAATTAATTTAATATTTCAAAATTAAAATTTGGATATTCGTGAATCATACCAACATAGTAATGTTATCCATATTTTAATTAAAATATTTATAATTTAATTTGATTGAAAGATTTAATATGATAAATATTTTGAGACGCAACAATATTACTATCCTCGATAAGACATTATAATAATGTAATATGAATATACAAATTTTCAACATTCCCTTCTAGATAAATATTTTTTTTCTAGCAAATTTCTTCAAAATTGACGAATAGTCATTAATGATTGGAGTTTAACCAATTTGAACAAACTTCTAGGTAAATAACGACTAAAATATCAAATATATATTTGGAACAATATTTTCAACAGCATATTTGAATTGGTACTTTTCTTGCTGTTATATTCCAGCATCTTTAATTAATTCTTTGTTGGAGGTTATGATTAGGTTATCTAATTGCTTGATTAATCAAAACAATTAAGCAATTCCAAGAATCATTTCGTATTTACCTCTATCATTAGGAGATCGTTTCGTATTTAATTTACCCTTATTATTAACAGGTATTGTATCTATAAATGAGTGGTAGCTTTTGTATTCATCTAAATTATTCTAGAAATATGATCAAATCAACGCGATAACTTTTTAATATGGTTTATAATTAATTATATTATATTACCTACAAGTTAAAGGTTTAATAGGGAAAATAATAATTAAACATAGACTTTTTACTAATCCAAGTTTAATGGAGTGTAAAATTACTTCATTTCGAATACGGAGTATTTATTACACAAGCAAATGTGACATTTTGCCTAAATTAAAATAAAAGTATAATTTTAGTCCTTTTCCATTCATGTTATAACTATTTGTTATTTTTTACGATTCGATTATTATGTTTTTTGAATATTGTAATTGTTTCCTTTTTCTGAAGGTTATATGATATATTCATTTTTTATTTCATATTTTTTTCTACTGATTTTGATATGTTTATTTGAATTGATTTTTTTTCTTAAAAAGATCAATCTATCTCTGTGAATTAAGAATAAAATCACTGTATACTATATCATTCTCAAACTCCATATATAAAATGATATTGAAAATTTAATTTATTTATTTTGGTAAAATGGTTATGCTGCTTTAGTTTGTATGTAGAAAAATTACAAAAATTCAACAAGTTCAAAACTAATTAATGCTATTATTCCAACTAATTAACTATACATTGCATCACATGTGAAGTACTTAGTACGTAGCTGCATACTTCATCTTTGATAATAATGATGCATTCTAATTTTTGTTTTTAATTTTTTTTTCTTTATAAAAAATATGTATTTTTAAAGGTACATCACATACTCTAGTGAATATGTTGTATTTGTATACCTCAAACTCCTCAAGGATTCATATTAGGGGATTTCTTTTATTTGTTTAATTTTTGGAGGACAGAGAAAATGATTCGATATTTGTATTGATAGAAGTGCAAACTGGTCCAGATATTCACACGCTCTCTAATGAATAAGTTGTATTAGTAAACCTCAACAATTCATATTAGATGATTTCTTTTCAGTTGTTTGAATCTTGATGGACAGAGAATGACTCGATAATTGTATTGACGGAAGTGCAAATTGATTCGAACACCACAATTATAAAAAAAATATTAATTATTCTTTGTAATAGACTAAATGATTTATTAGCACACCCCTCTAATTCCACACTAATCATTGACTAATACTCTAATAGTAGGAGATTTGGTATCTTCATGATTATATATTAATTTATTTAATTTTTGTCTTTTAGGTTTTGGTTGGGAAGTTTGTCATCTCTTCCTCCAACTTGTGATTTAATTGTATAAATTAAGTTATAAAAAGTTAAAGTAATTTGACTTTTATCTATTATAATTAACCCCATGCAACAATTCTTTAAACAATCATTTGACATTAAGAAAAATGATTTATTAGGTATAATATTTTTAATCTATCCAAGGATTAAAAATCTCACTCGTTCTCCTCGATCCACCCTCCACATAAGAGTCACAATAAAATTGTAAAACATGTAAAAGGATTTAACGAATTTATTTTTTCAGATAATTTTTATGTCACTGATGATGTCAATTGGGATGACATACTTATTTCAAAATAATATAGAATTAATTTGTCATATAATCTAAGATTATCTTTATCTGGTGGTAAGCTAGTCAATTCAACCTTAGGTAAATTACGTAAAAATAAAAAAATAAAATAAAAGGATAATAGACTGCTTTGACAATTGACAAAGTACAATTTTTGACTATAAACTATTGAACTATTTTTATAATTAGTCATATGTATTTAGTAGAAAAACAAGAAAAAAACTCCTCAATTGATTGACATTTATTTATTTTTAAATCAATTTAAAGATTTAAATAATATTACACACTAATTATCTACTATATATATTTCATAAATCCATGCACTACACCAAACTATATTGTTACATGAGAACTGCTCCAAATAAAATATTACACATGGAAAAAAAGTATTTACTATACATGTGATATTAATTAATCCATTATTTTTTTTAGTTATGATACCTAATAACATGTAAATATCAATGTTATAAGCACACGTGTCACCATTTTTAAATATATAATTAGTACTAATATAATGAGATTACAAAAAAAAATAGACACTTGTGGCAACTATGGGTGTAGCCAAATGTGAATTAAATTTTAATGAAAACCATAGTATTGCGCGATAGGAATCAAAGCTTTGTGAATAATTTATGTAATTACTTTACGTAATTTATAAATCAATTTACGTTTGCAACTACCATGAAGGTATTTTAATAAAAATATAATAATTGAGATGATCGTAAATTAACTGTGTGATATTATTATTATATTTAAAATGGTACTAGCATTATGTATCAAAGTGCTTATTGCATCTCCACTAAAATATATGAAGGATTTCTTGAAATCTAGCTACACTCTGTATTAATTATTAAAGGCATAATATATAGATAAATATTTTAATTTAGCCTCAATCAACAAATAATATTTATAATTTAGCCTCAATCAACAAATAATATTTAATTTTAAAAATGTAACAATATTTAAGCTTATTTTTATCGTCTGGTGAATATCTGATACTGACTTTGATCGATATATATTTTTTTTCTTTGACTTTTGAAAAATAAAAATATATTAGTGGTTACACAGTATACAAGTTAATTGATCATTTGATTTCTTTTTTATTAATTTATCTATGCCATGTGTAAGAAAATGTCAAAATATATAGTATCATTTTGTTTAGTGATACTCTTGGATGAATCTAACAAATCTAATATTGAAAAGAAAAATCGAACAAATTAAAGTTTTATTATTATAGTTCTTTACAAAATTCATAAGGATTATCGAGTTGATTAAATAAGTGATTTTGTAAATGAAATTTCTCAAATTTGACTAATTTTTCAAAAAAGTAAAAGATGCAAGATCCATTCTGACTATTTCATGAAACTTGTTCAATAATAAAGTTTTGGAATGATAACAAATTAACAAACTAAAAAGAAAAGTTCATAAAAATATAGATGAAACTTGTATAATGATCAGAATATATATAACTTTTTCATTCAGCAATTTATTCTGATTTGTACATTATAACAAAAGAGTTTTTTACAACAAAAAGTAAAAACAAATATTTGATATGGGAACTTTTGTATTTTTCTCCCATGTACCTTTTTTTTCCCACTTTTTTATCAACTAAAACTACTATTAACAAAAAGTGACACGTACTGACCAATCAAAAAAAACTTTAAATTAAACTCTGCGTATCGAATAAACTTATGTATTATATCACAAGAGTTGCTCAAACTTCCAAGATTCATCAAATGTAACATTATTCATCATGTCACTATGATCATCCTCAAGCAAAAAATCCAATGTGCTGCTAAAATCATTATTAATTTCCCATCCAAATCCCACATTGTTGTTATTATTATTTTCCATTAATGGCCATTCATCGAAGCTTGACAAAAACTTCAAATCTTCAAGAATGTTGGATGATGATGATGATGAAAATGAAGAGGATGATGTTGATGGAGTTGATTCTTGGACTAAAATCTCATGAGGTTCAATCAATGGAACTTCATCAATACAAAAGCCATTATTGTTGACTTCCACTATGGTTGAGTCAAAATTATTAGCGCAATTCGTTGCCATGGTGTTATTATTATTGTTATTGTTATCGTCTTCTGATTTGATCTTTGCAATAGTTGATTGATCAATTGAACTACTTTCGATATCCATTTGTGCCAATAATATATCTTGATTTTTTTCTTCTTCAATTGGTTGATTTTCTTGTTCTAATGTGTTTGTATGGTCAATAGTGATAGTGGAGAGTGGCTTGTGAGTGATTGGATCAATCCCCATTTTCTTCAACTTCTTCTTGATGTGTGTATTCCAGTGATTTTTTATTTCGTTATCTGTTCTTCCAGGTAAATGAGAGGCAATTTTTGACCACCTATAAATAATAAGTTTACTTGATCAGTAATTCAGAATATATTGTGAGAAAATATCAATGTTATAAAAAGAAACCCCATGACTAAAATGACATATTTACCCTCCATTGATCAAGAGAGTAAATTTATTTTGTCATGTTGATAGAGGGGTCCATTTTCCCACTTAGGTAAAAAGAGTCATTAATTGGTAAAGGAAATTGAAAATTTATTGATAAACAACAATGACACATTGAAAAGTACACAATGAAGAATGGGTGCCTGAAATTGAGTTAAAGTTTTTTGTCTACCACTTGAAATTTATTTATTTATTTTCTTGAAGTTTTAAAGAACTTTATGATCCACACAAAGAGCTCCAAATGGACATATCACTTATTAAATAAGTACTACACTTTTAACTCATGTTCTTTTTAAAAAAAATATTTAAATGTCAAAAAAGGAAAAGCATGAGAAATAATTGACATATTTTTTTTATACTTCAAAAAAATAAGTTACTATAATTTACCTATTTCCAAGCTGAGCATGAAGATCAATAACCATTTTTTCTTCATATTCTGATAAAAGTCCTCTCTTCAAATCTGGTCTTAAATAATTTGTCCATCTTAATCTACAACTCTTTCCACATCTCAATAACCCTGCATAATTAAAAATATATATATATATATATATTTAATATTTCTATATACTATAATCAAGATATACTAGTAAATAAATAAATAATTCACTTTCTTTTTAGAAATTTGGACCAATTCTAGTAATAAAAACAATCATTGAAACCACCCTTTTCTCATTTTCCAAATTAGCACACTAAACACCATTGTCCCACACTTTTCCTATTATCAATGACACAACACAGCGTGTTCGATACGAAAGAAAAATATTTTCATATTTTATTAATATGTGTCTATTTTTTTTTATCATTCAATCATATAGACGCAACAGGTTCTGTCATAACCTGCGGCGTCTAGTCTAAATGAATTCGTCAGATACAGTCTGACGAATTATAAAAGATGAAAAAAATGAGAGAGACCTGCTAATTTAGGGACAGCTCTCCAACAACATTGTCCATTATTGAGAATGAAGTTAATGAGTTTCTTGTCTTCCTCAGCTGTCCATGGACCTTTCTTCAATCCAACTTTGTCACAACAAGGTTGTCTCCCCATGATGATAATATTTTTTCAAGAAAATAACAACTAAGTTCAAGAAAATTTTTGATGTTTGATGAAACCAAATATTGAAAAAGAGATTTTTGGGATTATTTTGTTTTTGTAGAGAGAGATGAAGAGTTGGCCTAAACTCTATAGAACAACAACAAAGGCCACCTACTTATATATAAAATCATAACCAAACACCCCCCCACCCCCCACTAACCCTAGTGGTGTACCACACATTAACACCTCTAAAGAAAAAAAAACACGGCTTATTAATAAATTATTTTTATTTTTATTATATATAAATAAAAATCAAAATATTTAGAATCAATTTGAAAAACTTTAATAGGTTATTTGAATATTCATAAAAATATCAAAATATTAATCTCAATTATATATATCGTGTCTAAACACGAATTCAATATTAAATATCATTTTCAACTTAATTAAAAAAATTACAGTATTTTTTTTCAATTTCATGTTCAAACATCCACTTTCACTTTTTTTTTTTCTAAATTTAATTTCTAAAAATTATTACACCCACACGTGTAATTCAGTGATACAGCGCGTGTAAGTGCGTGTTATTTGTCACATTGAGAAAGCGCCACTTCAACACACAACTCTTATTTTCTTTGCTTGAATTTGAAGCATAAAAATATGGAGAAAACACTTAAGTTCTCTCACACCTCAGCAAAAAATTAGAAGAAAAAAAAATTAAATTGGATATTTTAGTATAAAGTATAATATTCTTGAATACACATTTGGGATGAAGTGGCTAATTCAACAAAATTTACATTTATTTGGATATGATAATATTTTATGTATACTTGTTTGAATGTTGACCCTTTTAAATTTACTTTATCCATGTATATTTTTAGATAACTTTGACTTGGGTTGAGCTATCTTTGGTTGGATTACAAAAATAATTAAAGTATATATACTAACATATAAAAAGGAAAAATGATTTTTGTAAGAAAATTTGGTCATGATGATAAAGTAACATATGTCATATTACGTTTTATTTTTAAAAATATTTTTATAATTTTGATTTTATTTTAAAAAATGAAAAAATTAAGATTACTTTAAAATAAAATGAATATTTTAAATTTTCTCTGATCAAATTTTATGATTATTTAGTATTACGCATATAAAATGATATATATATATATGTATGTATATTTGTATATATACATACATACATATACATTGAATGGTATTTCCTCTTATATATATCAACAATAGTGTAAGTTAATTGACTATACACCATTTTCCATGTTACAAGACCAAAGCTTGTGAATATGGAAAATTAATTGTTGTCGTAAGTCAATTTAATCTCATGGTATATATAGAAATTTATTTGGTGTTGATGTTAAAATTGTTTTAAAAACTTAATTAATATTATTCGTTTTATTCAGTTTGACAGATAAATTTTAGAATTTAATGTTTATGAATTTCTGTAGAGACCTTAAATTTTAATAAAATAATGATTAGGTTCGTAATTAAATACGTATAAATATTTATATATACGTTTAATAAATTCTTTTATTAAAATCACATAAACCTTTAAGCAAAACCGACCCTAACTAGTGATTTTATTCATGAATATTTTTGGCAACAAAGAGTGTCTTGTTTAATTTTGTGCTTTTAGTAACACTCTAATCATATCTGATTAAGCTTTTTTTAATAATAGGGATAATGCATAAGTAGTCCTTAACCTATGTCCGAAATCTCAAAGACACTCTTATACTATACTAAGATCCTATTATCTCACTGAATTTATTTTATAAGTAATTTTTTATCTTTTTTATCATATGTGGCACAATCTTGTGAGCCCAATACGAATTGATTTTTTCTTTCAAGATAGTGCCACGTAGACCTAAAAGGGGTAGAAAGTTACTTACAAAATAAGTTCAAGGGGGTCATCGGACTTTAGTATAGTATAAATATGTCTCTACAATTTTAGACGTAGATTGAGGGATACTTGTAAATTTTTTTAAGTATGAGTTCAATTTTCACTATTATCTTTTTCTGAGTAAATGAAAAAGTAAAAAAAGGTGATAAGAGAACTAAAATTACACATTTTGGTTGTGCATGAGATTGAGAGAAATTGTTTTCTTAAAGTTAAATTCAAATATAACGACATAGATCTTTCCTTAGGAATAAATTCAAGAGATATTTAAGGAAAATATTAAAGTAAGATTAATAATTCAAATATTATTTGACACACAACAAAAGTCTACGTTTTTACTACTCCAAAATGGACCCACAATCTTATGTATTAAGCAAAATAAAAAATAAAAAATAATCTTATCCTTAGATTAAAACCAAAGAAAATTTCATCTGCCAGCTGGTGGTCAAGATTATTATAATATACAAAACAATTTCAAATATAGTAAAGTCTACTAGAAGACTTAGCTTGAGTTAATAATAATAATAATAATAATAATGTACGTGCAAATTTACCCAACTTGTTGGTCGTAAGATTCTGGATTTTAATCAAATTTCAAAATTTCTATTCACACTTTCAAAAAGTTTATCTCATTATGATTAATCGCTCATTGCGCAAATACGTATACAATATTAATATTGATAATAGAAGATAAAATTTTTGATAAATTTTTTAATATAATACAAAATCTAACTAAAATTACTGAGATCAGTTGAACATTTACGTCAATTTTTAGTTTCGTTCCGAATAAGTATGTTATTATAACAATAACTAATAATAATAAGTATATAAGTGCAAACGTACCTAAATTGGTGGTGAGATTCTTGAATATATCTGAATTAAGTTTGAAATTTGAATCTCAATACCTCTTATTTTCCATATCACAATCCCTTTAATTAGTTCTTTTTTTCTTCCTTTTTCCAAATTCATTGTTCTTTTGTAAAAAAATCTTGAGATAAAAAATTAATAATTTATTTATCTAACCAAAAAAGAAAGGGAAAAAGAATAATTAGTCTTAATATATTCTTATTCAACCGCTTAAATTATAATCATCTACGAATTGATTTCCTATATAATATATATTAAATTTTATATATCATACAGAAAAAATAAATTGTAAATTTGACTAGCTATTTGTGTAAGACCCCCAAAAATTTTATATATATATATATCAAATTCATCTTTATCGTTACTTAGATGTTTCAAATTCGAATTCTAAACATAATAGAAATTATAATAGGTATTAGGTACCTTATACGATATGAATTTAGATTAGTATTTGTACATCGGGTGGGACCAATTAAAAAATGAAGTGTATATTTGCCTTAGCTTTGTTTTGTTCTTTTAAAAAAATGAATGCATGTATTAAAGAATTTTTTTTTAATGTGGGGATTAAATTAATTATTGTGCAATATGCATATGCCAAGTAGATACAAAGATCTTCCCAAACAATAAATTATAATTATTTGCGGCATTTATTTGTTTGTTATTTTTATTTTTATAAATAAGAAGGAAAATAGTGGTTGAGCATCTAATTGGCATATCAACTACCATGAAAATTATTATATAGACATGCAAAATTATCATAGTATGTATACTAATATTATTATTTTTAATAGCATAGAATAAGGATCTACATTTATACTTTATATTTACGAGTCACTTTCACGTAGAGAAAATGAAATATATTTTCCATCATGACAAATAATTTAAACTAACCAATTATCTTATTTGTGCACACGAAGTTCCTATAAACTAATTTATATTCTATACTATATATTTGAATTAGGAAAGGATATAGGTAATCGGGTTCAGGTTTCAAAAAACTCAATAACTTTTATGCTGATTTATATTGAATAATTTATACATATAAGAAATATTTATTGAAAATTCGACAATAAAGTAAGCTTTTGGTCCATAGGCAAAAATGGAACTTGTTTTAAGCTTTGTTGGCCTTTTGGTCCTTAATAAGTGGGATGGAGGTTAATTAACGACAATGATAATTTGATTATTAATGACCCCAAATTAATTATTAATCAAGTCCTAATTAATAGTACTACTTGACATATACTTGCTAAAAACACAAAACATTTTATAATAAGACTTTAACTAACTCCATGAAATATAAAATCCATCAATTTCTTGTGGATCTAACTGTTCTAATCATTATATATATATAATTTTATTTTTGTATCTCGTATATGTCATGATCCAAGTACATAACATGTAGTGTTTACTTTGGCCCAACAAACCTCGCAAATTTATTCTTTGAGCGATGTCATTATCAAGCCCAAAAATATTTATATCGTGTGAACACTCATATTATGTCTTATAAAACTCTTCATTTTTTTCTCATTCTGTTGTGTGGCATTCACCTTATCAGGTGTAATATGCCTCCTTTATTTGAAAATTTGTTTGTCAAAAAGTCTATCAATCCTACTAATCTTCGACCCGCCTCCTTTGTGGGCATGACAATATATAATGTGTGTGTGTTTAATTTTAAACTAATTAAATAAAAATTGTATTTTTGAACTTAAGTAAATTAAACGTGTTATGGTAGATTCCCAAATTCAATCCCTAATACGTTTTATATCAGTATATTGTAATTTAACATGTTATAGAATAAATAATATGTGTTACTTTATGTCCTTATTCCTTTATAAAACTCATAAAACTTAAGTTTACAGCATTAAACGACGACCCTGCTTGTTCAATTTTTAAGATATTATCTACTTTACGTCTATACATGTAAAAATTTGCCTCTTTGGTTTTAACTCAAAAGGACGTGCCTCAACTATTAATTCTAAACTCATTCTTCTATCTCATTCCAATATTTACAAATTCACCTAAGATATATTGTGCACCCGTTCTTCAGAGACTTGACTTTTGTTACGAGCGTCAAGAAATCATTTATACACTCTCTTTATACTTCTATTAAATTTACATATTTCAAAGAAGTAGTGACAAAAATGGTAAGTTACGTTTGTTCCCTCATACCTCAGCAAATATATGACTTAATTATAAAATTGAACCGTTGAGTAAACGTATATAAAACGTTTACTTATAAGATTTTACATTTGTTTTCTCGACTACTTGTTGTATTATAGACCAAATTTATTTGACCACAAAATAAAACATTTACTTTTTTTTTTATATTTGTTTAATAAATAGTACTCTTGATAGCACTTGAAACTTTTTTTTTAC